TTCGTTGTAGCAGGATCACTGGGGTACATAAAACCCCATGTACCCCTCGTGATCCTGCTGTAACTTATAATGTAGCTCAGATGGTTCATGATGCCTCCAACCCCCACCCTCACCCCCACCCTATAACCCCACCCTGTAAGAGGACTTACGCTGAGATTGACCAGAGGTTGTCAAAACTCGGGGACCAGTTCACAACGGGATTGAAAACTCCTCTTGAATTCCTTAGCGCTGCTGAATAATTAGTCGAGTTATCCTATTGATTAGGACTTTCGCATGTACATGGGATCAATTAACCTGATTCTCTTCAATAAGCTTTTCTAGCCGTGGACAGGTTTGTCAGAAAAATGCCCGTCACAAGTGAAGCAGGTGCAAACCTAAGAGATTCAAGACAACTAAGCTTAAAAGTCTGAAGAATTGTTAATTATTGCATAATTATCAAAATGTGATTCCTGAATTTACAAAAAATACCGCAGAATCTTTATATTTTGGCTCCGGATATACAACAACGAGTGATAACATGTATCTACATTTTCAAATTGTGACGATAACTTAATAGCATGAACTATGACAATTTGAAATGTTGTTGCGAAGTTTTTATCTGAAAGGGTGACAGAAATAAAATAAAATAATGATATATGCTAATGTGTTTCATTTGCGTAGGCATTTGGTTCACAACAACGCTAAGGGCTGTAGACTTTATTTCAAGGTTATAGGCAATAGCTGAGACAGTCACTGGTGCATTAAGATGTTTATAGACGTTAGTCCCTGTGGGTATTAGTAGTCCACAGTCCATTGCAAGTTTATTCAATACTACTTTCCCTTGCTTTTCATATCTATTGAACCTGATTCGACAAAATTATTACATTTCAGGAGTTGAAGTACACATAAACAAATTGGAATGAATATCATAAAAAATCTAAAACTGTAAAAAATGCATTTATATATTTTACGGAACCCTGTAAAAATGCAACTCAATTACAGAAAAAAAGCAATGACATTAGGGAGCAACTATTTGTTGTTCAGGGATGGGGTACCAAAGGTATTTTTCTAAAAAAATAATTATGCCCAGCTTACTGATTGTTTTTAATCAGAATGGCATTGTTGGATAACAAATTATGTGCCATTTTCTTGCAGACAGTGAGAATTAGAATATCAAGAAGCCAAATTTTAATTCACAACTGCTGATATTAAACTGTAACCTGGCCAAGGCTGTTAATGAGGTTGTGGTACTGGGGACAGGCTCTTTTAAAATGTTTGCCCCCTCTATAGCCTCTGACGGCGGAATTGGTCTCCCTGACAGAAGGGTCGCGAAACACAGGAGTCAAAGGACAAGGCCAAGACTGCCCTCAAAGGGAACCACCATTGTCAAGAACAGCTGCTACTTTGATAATACGGAATGGGCAAGATGAACGACAATTGGCAACGGCTTCATGTGCGGGCGCCATATGTGCATTACTGTGTCGAGGTCAAAATTATAAGGCCGCCCCATGTAATTTTTATTGCTTATGTGCTATAAATGCTTAATTCCCTCTTGTTTTAGTTACCTTTCAGGCGATAACTAAATAAGAACGTGGGCCTTTACGTATATATAACATGTCAAAGTGCAAACACTGATACTAACTACCTCGTAGCATCTGATTAAAGTTCGTTGACAAACACATTTTGAAAAGACAAAATGCTTGATGCTATTGAATCACACCTCACCCACTCCTCACTCAATTGCATACCAGGACTTCAGCTTGACTATCAGCTTGAAAAAGACAAACGTGATGGGCCAGGGAGTGGAGCAGCCTCCAGCGTTCTCCGTCAACAACTACGAGCTGAAGATGCTGAACAAGTTCATCAACCGGCTCCACCATCCCAACCTGTCCATGGATGCTGAGATCAGGCGGATAGGCAAGGCGCCTACCACCTTCGCCAGACTGACGGAGAGAGTTGGGGAGAACAGCAAGCGGACATCCCATAATAACGTTGCTGTCTACAAAGCCCGTATCCTTGTTGTAATGCGGCGATTATTGGACACTCTCCTCCAGACAAGAAAGGAGATTAAACGCCTTCCACATGCGCAGCCTGAGGCGGAAGCAATTGGGGTGACCGAATCGCAAACATTGAAGACCGCTTTTAACATTATTCCAGTTATATCACGGCGTGTCAGCTTAATGTTTAAGGAAAGCCCGAAGTGATGCAGGTCTCAGACGTCTACCACTTACCACGTGAAACCCACGAGCACGGGTATGGTGCTGACAAACCTAGAAACATAATCGGGGCGAACCGGGATTCGAACCCCAATCATAGGTTTCTGGCATGCCCAAGGGACGCAACTCTTCACAGCGAATCGCGGCGCCTTAGACGACTTGGCCACCCGTACTTCTTTCTCATTTGTTTCCTTGGTTATAGATGACGTGAACATATTCATGTATTTTGGTAAAGAAATCTCGAAAGCTGAAACTAAGGTTGACAGTTTTGGCAACGTGTAGTTTTCAACAAAAGTAGAATTTTTTAATTCGTATGCAAAGAGAAACAAAGTGGCGAGAAGAGGGGCACAGTTAGTACCCATGGAACACCCACCTACTCCAGGCCACAGATTGAAACTAGAATAACATTTTACAAATGTTTTGGAGTTAGGTGTAGCCCAGTCATCTAAGGCAACGTACCCATGATTGTGTGGCAAATACCTACCCCTGTATTATTTAGGGCTTCATATACAATAGTGGCCCAATGTTGCTTGTGTCAGATCAAGCAATATCTCCTAGGAATACTTGTTACGTGTCCACTCCCAAATTGAAAGAATATGTTAACCCAGAAATCTGTACGTAAAAGAACTTAGTGTGAAACCAACAAACCAACAACAAATTATATACAATTAACAATGGTATTACAAAATTAACATGGTTTACAAATCAACACAACTTACTGCTCAGCAATTACAGTCGCAGTACACAATAGAGTGGTCGTACAATGGAGATACGTAAACCCGCTATTGTTTCCTTGTAAAGTCTAACCAGATACTGGAAAGTTCCACATAGTGCTCTCGCAACACAGAATATTCTCCATGTTTCTATAACATACCATCACCGTCCGCGGCATACAAGACCGGAAGTTAACATCCCACACTGTCCAAACACAATGGAAAGGACGTCTACAGAATCCCAACAGAAACAATGTAACACAGTTACAATCATGGTTAAACAATAAAATACACAGCCATGTAATATAACATATTTGTAATGTTATTTGATTAGACGCTGCTGTTTCTTTTCGTACTTAAGTGAGCGGTATTGTTTTTTAATCAATTAATCAAACTAGGTCAAATTTTCAGGTCGTATTGATTCAAAACCTACGTATTTGCCTCGATATTTAATATCCTACTTAAGTATGGCCTTCAATGATCTCCAATTGACAAGGTTGATCACCAGTTCATACCTCCTGAAATAGAATACGGCTGTACTGAAAGTGAGACCCCCTCTAGGCTTGTGAGTGAGTGAGTATGGTTTTACGCCGCTTTTAGCAATATTCCAGCAATAACACGGCGGGGGACACCAGAAATGGGCTTCACACATTGTACCCATGTCGGGAATCGAACCCGGGTCTTCGGCGTGACGAGCGAACGCTTTAACCACTAGGCTACCCGACCGCCCCTCTAGGCTTGTGTGAAAGTTGATACACTGAGACTAACTGAAAGAATTACATCTAATGTTGACTACAGTTCCCACCCTACGGGATTCAGAAAGTAACTGAATATGACTGTGCACTCTATCGGGGATGTGATGCTTCTACTTGCGGTACGACGTTTCCAGATAATGTGACGCATTCAGGATATACAACCCGATACAGTAAACTTGACACCTGTCACGTTAAAGATTCCTTCATCTAAGAGGATAGAATTTCGGGGCTCAGTTAAGTTTGCTTTTGAAAATGATACAGACGTCTACTAATTAAACTACTCTTATATACCAATATTTGAAATATGAAATAACATTTTGCAGTTCATCTTCATACACACATACGTACGTACGCACGTACAGGCAGGCAGACAGGGAGACATTGTAAGCACCCTACCCGTGCTCGTGGGTTTCACCAAAAGTGGTAAACGTCTGATGCCTGCATCACTTCGCGCTTACCTCCCACATAAAGCTGACACGCCGTGATGTAACCGGAATGCAGTTGAAAGCGGTGAAAAACCAAACCCCCTCACACTGACCTACAGATATATGCATTGTCTCTCTATTGGTTGTTTGTACTTCTCCTAACAACCTCCCTGTCTCAAGATTTGGCTTCATATAACTCCACTTATTCGGAATGTATCTGGTGAGCGAAGAGATATATCATCATTGATATTTCCATTTGTAGCTTTACGTAGAAGTTATGACCGAATCATGTGGAAAAGAATGATTTTGCAAACGCGAAGAAAAACTAACTAGGAACAGTCCTCAGAGAAACAGATTTTAGAAATGTTTTCTGAGATATGGGTTAAACGCGTGAAAAACGCATATAAAAAAACAGGATTTCAGAAATGTATTCGGTCGTTCGTCAAAGGCGGCACAATTCCCTTAAGCGTGCAAAGGCGTGCCAGAAACCTTTGATCAGTCTGGTAATGACTGTTCACGTCCTTGTCGTTGTCACCGACGTGGTATACGACTGAGACCTGCCTTACTACATATGTCCGTTTCACGTCAAGTTGACAATAACAACTGTCAAAGGGGCAAATACGATAACCACAGTGTGAAGCTTATGCAACGGCAATGACATATCCGTTACAGAAAACTGACAAGATGTCAATAGTCTTCAGATTCCACACAGCCGGTTGTCCCTCTTATACAGGTGCATTTCGACACAGTTCCTGACAACGGAAAACAGTGAGATTGATCACATCGTAGTCACATATCGAGGTAATGATTTTGTTAACTTCCGATATTAACCAACAGCATCCGCCAGACGTGTAGCCAATGGTCTTTGAGAAGAAAGGTGGTTGTCTTGTCATTAGGCTCTAGGAAGCCACCAAGAGCGGAGGGTTGCAGTGATCGCTATGAACACTGGCTACACGGCACTGGCACCGGAGAGTGCTGGTGAGCTCAAGCTGCCGCTGTCTGATAATGAGACAGATATGGACTATTGGCATGAACTTATTAGAGCATACAACATAAGGCCACTGAGCAAAGAAGGATACTTCTGGACCGGCATTTATTTAGTTATTGTTGGTAAGTAGATTTGTCAAAGTAGCATTATTTACTTACGTTTGGCTTTATTCGATGGATATGAGGCTGGGGAAAGTGAGTAGAGTATAATTGTTGAAATAACCGTTTCACGGCGGGAAAATAACATGTTTCGCATCATATGTCGGACATTTGTTTTCTGTCCATATCATGTGTCGAACACTGGGTGTCTAGTCATAGCATATGTCTAACATGGGGTGTCTGATAATGACATATGTCGGACATTTGGTGTCTGGTTATGACATATGTCTAACATAAGGTGTCTGATCATGGCATGTGTCTAACATAAGGTGTCTGATCATGACATATGTCTAACACGGGGTGTCTGATGATGGCATATGTCTAACATGTGGTGTGATGTCATGACATATGTCTAACATGTGGTGTCTGATCATAGCATATGTCTAACATGTGGTGTCTGATCAAAGCATATGTCTAACATGGGATGTCTGGTCATGACATATGTCTAACATGGGGTGTCTGGTCATGACATATGTCTAACATGGGATGTCTGGTCATGACATATGTCTAACATGTGGTGTGATGTCATCACATATGTCTAACATGTGGTGTCTGATCATAGCATATGTCTAACATGTGGTGTCTGATCAAAGCATATGTCTAACATGGGATGTCTGGTCATGACATATGTCTAACATGGGATGTCTGGTCATGACATATGTCTAACATGTGGTGTCTGGTCATGACATATGTCTAACATGTGGTGTCTGGTCATGACATATGTCTAACGTGGGATGTCTGATCATGACATATGTCTAACATGGGATGTCTGGTCATGACATATGTCTAACATGTGGTGTCTGGTCATGACATATGTCTAACATGGGATGTCTGGTCATGACATATGTCTAACATGGGATGTCTGGTCATGACATATGTCTAACATGGGATGTCTGGTCATGACATATGTCTAACATGGGATGTCTGGTCATGGCATATGTCTAACATGGGATGTCTGATCATGACATATGTCTAACATGGGATGTCTGGTCATGACATATGTCTAACATGGAATGTCTGGTCATGACATATGTCTAACATGGGGTGTCTGGTCATGACATATGTCTAACATGGGATGTCTGGTCATGACATATGTCTAACATGGGATGTCTGGTCATGACATATGTCTAACATGGGATGTCTGATCATGACATATGTCTAACATGGGATGTCTGGTCATGACATATGTCTAACATGGGATGTCTGGTCATGACATATGTCTAACATGTGGTGTCTGGTCATGACATATGTCTAACATGGGATGTCTGGTCATGACATATGTCTAACATGGGATGTCTGGTCATGACATATGTCTAACATGGGATGTCTGGTCATGACATATGTCTAACATGGGATGTCTGGTCATGACATATGTCTAACATGGGATGTCTGATCATAGCATATGTCTAACATGGGATGTCTGATCATAGCATATGTCTAACATGGGATGTCTGGTCATGACATATGTCTAACATGGGATGTCTGATCATAGCATATGTCTAACATTTGGTGTCTGATCGTAGCACTGTCCAGCATAAGGTGTTCTGCTCATGGCATGTTTCTAACACAAATTCCTATCTGGATTTCGGTGCATCAGTCAATGTCAGAGATAGCTAATTGTAGTATGTCCATTGATGTACTAATATCAGCCGAGGAGAACTTGGATCTTTGTTATCTCTGTTTGCACTTGTATAATCATTGTCGAGCAAATCAATATTTTGACAAGAAAGATGTATAAAGCTCCTCCCGGGTGGTTCGATATCGGAGATTTGTTTTACAACCCGATTCTAAGCAAACATTACGTCGGAATATAAACAGAATCTCACCCAAGTGTCTTTTGATATCAAATATTTCGACGATATATTTGATATCAGAAAAAACGAGGGTGAGATTTTATTTATCATTCAACATCAGTCTTCCAACCTTTTCAGTTTGTAGACAGTAATAAGCAGTGTTTTAAGGGTAAAAAGTACTGCTAACAGCTTAAGTAGCAGAGTCATTAGTGATGTCATTTGATTGTGACGTCATGGTAACGATGACGTCACAATGGTCTGCAAAGCATTGTGATGCAATTTCACCCAAGCGATATCTCGTGTGGGAGCCAGTTTTGGATGATAAATTGTTTATCCAGAATCGGGCGGTAAAACAAATCTCTGATACCGAATCACTGTGAGCATCGGACATTTTACCAACCTTATTAAGGTGCTAGTACTTAGATGTTCAGGATTTAGATTTCTCTTCCTCGAGTCGTCATTTCAAGAAACGATTTTATCAAAGATATATCATAACGAGGGTTGCATGTCCTCTTTGCGCACAACTTCCTTATGGTATCAAAATTTAATTACAACACCCTTAATGTGCAGTGGCATAGTCGTCTCCTGCTTTTACTGTCTGTGTATCAAAGAGTTAATCTACCTCAAGAGACTTGCCACCCCTTGTGGATGCTGTCCACACATTTCTTAAGCGGGAGCTATTTATACCGATTTATTTCTAGGGTCAACTCCAGGTTGACCATTACCGTCACAGTTAGCGCTTGACGTTACAATTTTACAATGGCAAGGATGTATGACAATAGATGACTTCGGATAGCTGTATGTTCACAATCATCATGTTATTTACATGGAGATTATAATGTTTGTAAGTAAGGAACTTTTTTACCTGAAAGGAAAATATATGACGTCAACGCCAGAGAATATCCGGCCTCGATTATCCGCCGAAACGGTGAGAAGTATATGAATGGATCACTGAAAACCATTGATGACACCAGGCGGTCACGATAGATAAAAGGCTATTTTGGACCACTAGAAAGGTCAACATTTACAGATGCGGAATACTTTGAAATATTTATGGAATATATGGAAGTTATCATAATAGCTGTCAGAAGCATTTTAAATTTGCACGTTGACGAGATCAAATAGACAAGTATGTCTACAATAAGTGACAAAAGCAGTCCTTGGCCCTAAATGAATATTTAGCATGTTTGGAATGCGTGTTCTACGTCTCCCGTGAAACACACCTTGGGTCAAAGACTTGCCCGTGTTGAAATATTAGACAAGCCTTTCATGAAAAAACACTAAAATCAGATTTTTTTACACATTTTATATTTACATATTCACTTGTCATAACACTGAAATGAAATTAACAATGTTTACATCTCATTCATATGAACTAGAAGAAGAACTTGCTGTAAAAGGCGAATGTGCTTGTCGTAAGAGGCGACAAACAGGATCGGGTAGTCAGGCTCGCTGACTCAGTTGATGCATGTTATCGTATCCAAATTGCGTGGATCGATGCTCATGATGTCAATCACTAGTCCAGACTCGATTATTTACAGATTGCCGTCATATAGCTGGAATATTGATGTGTGCGGTGTTAAACAACAAACAAACATTCACATGTACATAGCTTACAACCCTCGGGCCAATTTCTAAACGTTTTAATAATTTCTTAAAATATGCAGATGTTGTGCGCCGAAAGTGCCCCTCGTTATATCTTATCCTATTAAACTGTGACGCGTCCATCTTACGCCATCGGTTTCAATTGAACTTTCGGGCCTTCAAAATACTCAATAACACCCTAGATCTAAAACACATGTTTATCTCCTATTTGAAACAGGTTATTGTGAGGCAGTTTAGATGATTGCCGATGTCACAGCAATCAGTTCATTAAAACAGTACAGAAAGGCATCATCTCATGAATATATGTATTTGCAGGAACAAGACCCACAAATCACATGCCATACGCCACGTCTATATTCCTGCACCCAGTTTACTCAGTGATGATCGATACTTCACCACTATAAAAGTATTCAATCGACAAATGACTGGGCAAACTAGTTGTAATTTTGGCTAATGTGATAGAAGTACATGACAGTGTGAGACATTAGGGACATTTGCGCTAATTCCGTGGGAGTGGTTAGTAAACTTCGATCTTGTCAGTGCCAAGCTATTATTGATATGCATGCTGGTGTTGTCTTGGCTACACGAGTGCAATCGGGGAACTGGAGCGGATAAATCAGTGACCCCATACATTAAATTATACATTATATTACCTTTCTTTGGTATAGTACGATGAGTGTTGCACAGTTTATCCACTCTATGGGGACGCCGGGTTGTGTTTGGACCCCAGTAACCTATGCAGATATAAGAGGCCATTTATAGACTGATCTCTGTGACTAGGATATTACAATATGCGGCGTTAAACTACAAACAAAGACATATATCATGGTGTCGGTCACTGGCTCGTCTATAAGGGTCACAATCACTAAGTCTTTCGAAATGGCCAAAGTATTTGTAGTTGTTGAGTGGGTTGTTTAGTGGGTGGATGAGTGGGTGGTTGAGTGAGTGAGTGGTTGAGTGAGTGGGTGAGTGGGTGGTTGAGTGGATGGCTGTTTGAGTGAGTGGTTGAGTGAGTGGTTGAGTGAGTGGTTGAGTGAGTGGTTGAATGAATGGATGAATGAGTGGTTGAGTGAGTGGTTGAGAGAGCGGTTGAGAGAGCGGTAGAGAGAGTGAATTGGTGGTTGAGTGAGTGGTTGAGTGAGTGGGTGAGTGGTTGAGTGAGTGGTTGAGTGAGTGGTTGAATGAATGGATGAATGTGTGGTTGAGAGAGCGGTTGAGAGAGCGATAGAGAGAGTGAATTGGTGGTTGAGAGAGTGGTTGAGTGAGTGGTTGAGTGATTGGTTGAGTGATTGGTTGAGTTGGTGAACTGATGGTTGAGTGAGAGGTTGAGTGAGTGGTTCAGTGAGTGATGTAATGGTTGAGTGAGTGGTTTAGAGACTGGTTGAGTTGGTGAATTGATGGTTGAGTGAGTGATTTAATGGTTGAGTGAGTGGTTGAGTGAGTGGTTGAATGAATGGATGAGGGAGTGAAATGGTGGTTGAGAGAGTGGGCGGTTGAGTGGGTGAATGGTTGAATATGTGGTTGAGAGAGTGAATTGGTGGTTGAGTTTTGAATATTGAACATTTG